TGTGCAAGTGTCAATATGTTGCGCGCAAACGTGAAGGCTACTTGTACGGACTTGTTTAATTCGTCAATTATAAATCAGTGGCGTGCCGTCGTTGGAAGCGGTGGATGCGCCGCTTCCCTTGTATTTTCTAAAAAATAAATACATATTAATGTTAATTATATGAAAATAATCGCACAATATTTTATTATAACAGCATTATGTATCTTATTACAAATTTCTATGCTACACGTGAAAAAAAAAGGATAGGATTGCTATTGTATATTCGAATATTAGTGGCGGAGTGGAAGCGCCGTATCGTCGGCATCCAAAAAGCCAGATTCGCGCACACGCTTTACGTAGCACCAACCTCACCCAGTTTAGCCGGTGGAAGCCTACGACCTTGGCTGGATGTTACAGATATACCGCATCCAATTCTATCCGGGACCGGTTCCGGGCTGTTAGCAGCCTGCCCGCTAGATATTTGGCCGCCCTCACCCGATTACACGAATCGCGAGTAGATTTATAACTTAGCCCAACCGATAAGAATTTACTGGTAGGTTTTTACGATAGTTCTGTATAGTTGACAGGAGTTTTAAAAAAATCCATTAAAATATTTGATATTTTAATTCCGCTCTCTGATTTTATATTACTCACGGATTTCAATGTTAAACCAGTGATATTACGATTTCTATATCCCATCTTTAAGGGAATGCAGAAAAAAACGTGTACAGTTCTTGTATAATGGTAAAAAAATTAACCGTTATTTTGACAGCATCATTTACAACTAAATTTAATGAATGAGAGAGATGCGCGAGGTACAGAAAAAGCTTTAGAATTTATTTTCCTTACTTTTAAGATTTATATGTCCGTTTGTCATAAAAATTTCTTTTTCCACTTTTTCCCGAGACTACAAATATTCGAGTACAAAGTAACAGGTTTCGACTTATTTCTACTTAAGTAGTAGTTAAATAATTAAGCGATTCGGGAATTGGAGACAGAAATAACACCCTGACGAAAGAGGCGAAATTTTACTTAAACAAAAGCTTAACCGAACCAATCTATAGCCGAGTACAGTGGAGACTGATTTCTTCGAAATATTAGATGTAATAAAGACAGACATTTTTCCTGTTCGACGAGAGTGACCGAAAAGTTGTAAATTTTGGAATTTTTGTGGACACCTGGTCCTAAAACGAATTAGTTAGAAAACAAATAACTATTATATTTAACATATTTAGATTTTTACAGCTATGGTGAAAAACGTTTAAAATCTACAACAGCCTTGTCGCGTCCTTTGAGATATACTAGTGATACGACAAAAGAAGTATTTGACATTGGACCGGTATCGACACCCTGGGGATTTGGCAGTCCGCGTGTATGCACGCTCTGCAACCGTCTTCGATTCCATCCATTAGCCACTGGTATGGAGCTATTTGACTAAGTGCATTGTTTTAAAACCCTTAACTGGTATCGTAAATTTTTCAAACGTAACTGGTATCATGGGGGCTGCGCGGCCCCCAAGCAAAATTTGCCTTTAGACAGCAAGTTTAAACAATGTGACAGTTCAAAAGTGCATAAATGCTAAATGGAACCCTTTTTTAGTATAATCAACTTTTATTTATTTATATAATTTTCTTTACTTAATTATTACAAGAGATCACAAAATTGTTACAACTTTTGGTGTATGCTTTCTTTAACAATACAAAAATCTACCCTATTGTAAGTTTTTACCAAAGATATTTTTTTCTTCCTATTCTTAAGAAACTAATCTTATAAAAAAGTATCTCTTATAGCCTCTAACTATCATTTGTTAAAAAACCACAGGTAATATAATCATTCTATTTTTAAGACTCAGGAACATTTTAACGCGATTACGTAGTTCAGTCTTGAGAGTTATCACATAGTATTTTTGTAGTACTATACACTTTGCAAATAAATTTCAAACAACTGTTGCACTTAGTAGCATATTTACCATCTTTTTTTCCAGCACAAAATGACAACATACTCTTTTCAGGAGATTTCGGCTTGATCTAGCAATTTGTATATTATCATCTATTAGCAGTTCAAATGATTCTTTGGTAGTCATTTTGAATTTTTGATGCAAGATTAAGATATCTTTGCAAAATAATTGTAAAAATAAAAAAAAACATAAAAACACATTTCCACAAAAAACCAACGTAACTGGTATCGTGGGGCTGCGCGGCCCCCAGAAGGTACGTAGCTCCATCCTTGTAAGTGCTACAGGGACGAACATTTGGCACTCGCTAAGAGTCGTGACGTAAAGAGATTACATAAAATGGCAGCTGCGCACGATATTTAGATTTTTAGAAAATCGTAAAAATATAACGCGTGGGGGCCGCGCGGCCCCCAAGAAACCAGTTAAGGGTTAATTAACTCGTGAAGGGTCGCGCTTAGGGGTATGGTTAATTAGACAGTTTTTGTTTCCACACGGGTCTATCCTTTGGGGGCCTCCACCCCCTCATTCGAAGTTTGAAACTTAACCAAACTTCTCATTCAGAGCTTGAATTTAGCCATTTGGTTAAATTTCATACAGGCAGTCACAGTTGAGTCTTTGTAAAAGGTTTGTTACGGTTTCGTTGGTGACAATTTGGTCATTCCATATGGTTTCATAAAGCATTCAATCGGCACGTTCAATTCTGGATAATCTGTATATATTCATAATTGTTATTGGTATAATACACATTGGTTCTTTTATTGTAATACATTCATTCATTGTTGTACAAATATAGTACAGACCGGCCCGCATTGAGCATTACCAGTTATACACATTAGATATTACAGTACTAAAGATAAAACTTTGTTACGTGTACAGAAATGATGAAAACAAATACATATAATAGAAGAAAATAAGTCAATAAATACATAAAATAAGATAAAGAAACAATAAACTTAACTATATACAAAATTATGTACATAAAATCAGCAAGATTGCAAAGACAGAGTTACCTTTAATAGAAAAATATAATTAACCTGAATAATGAATGTAAATAAATACTTAATGTAGCATCTTGCTGATTGGAGACTGGCTATAATTGTGAGTAACTCGCCATATCATGTAAAATGTCCAATTTATACAAAAAGTTCAGGAACATCCAAATAGCATGTAAAATGCAATAGTCTAGAGGTTGCAAGACATCACAGTATAGATGTTTATCAGTTTCAGAAACGCATTATTTTCAAGGAGTGAATTTCCTGTTGGTCTGTGACGAAGTTCAAGCTAGTGGTCTGTATTTCCTATTGGTCTGTAGTAAGATACAGCTATTGATTTTCATGTATTCTGTCCTAGTTAGATATTTTGATTTTTTTTTGGATACGTTGGACACATTTTATCCATGGTATTATGGTTATGTTGTGTTCTTTTCTCTTTCAAACAGTTGACACATTTTGGTGTTTCATGTCTATTTGTACAATTTTTAAAAAGATGGTTCTCACCACAATGACTGCATATCGATTCTGTGGAAGTACAGTTTTTAGCAAAATGGCCAAAGGATAAGCATCTGTAGCACTGCATTGTAGGAATAAAATCGTACACCTGACAAGTTGACCAATGAATGTGAACTTCTCCTACTTTTATGAGTATATCCCTTATTTCAGGAGTCACCTCAAATTACTGCAATACAGTATTATAAAGGGAAGACAATGAAATTGACAGGTAATCTTGAGGTAAAGAGCTACCAGTGTGTTGTACCATTCATGCAAATTTTGCATTTGTTGCCCTGTAACCTTCATGCTGTAGTAATTTCATCTTTGCTTTTTTCTTGTTTTCTTTATGATATTTTAAATATTTACACCAGAAGATCCAAGAAATTTTTGGAAAATATTTTTAAAAATTTAAACTCAACCAAAGAAAAATAAATCAAATTTAGGCTTTTTCACCCAATAAATATACCATCAGAGTTATCACATATTTTATTGTTCTATTGTTTATATTTATATATACTTTAAAGCCAAGTATATTTTTATATTGTTTGCAAACACAAGCCTTTACATTTTTCTTGTACTGTACACTACTGTATATAAAAAGATGGCTGGCCAGCATCGACAAAAGCCACTGTTCCTCATTGGCACTGTCGACCATCGTCGAATACAGCTATGCCTATTGGTGGCTCTCCACCCACAAGGACCGCAGTGCCTTACCTAGCACTGGTGGCCGTCGGCGAAGACGGCTTATTCAATGTGATAACCTATTATTTATTTACAGCTATAATTATAAGGGCTTAACAGTTTAATTTATTACTAAATTTAAAGCTTAATGCATTACTTGCTGTACAAACTTAAAAGTTGAAAAATTTTAAGGTTTAGTGTAAGAATGCCGATTGGGGGAGTTTTTTTTATTTCCTACCGTCGAGATGGCTTAACTTGTAGTGAATACCCAGTTTTGAAGTGTGGAAATTGCTGACCCACATGCCTACATCCCTGCATTTGAGGAAGCGACACGATCACTTTACTTTCTATACAGGAAAAAAGAACGGCTAGAAAACAAGTTGACATTATAGAAGTACTGTATAATTGGAAATACTGTAAATTGGCACATTGGTAGTTCAGTGGTAGAATGGTGGGTGGCCCGTGTAGTGTTCCTGGCTGATGCAAATAATGTTTTCGGTGGGAAGACTAAAACAATATAGAATAAGAATACAAAGTGAATACAGGTAAATGCTTCTTCGTTATCATTTATATTTGAGTTTGGCTTTTTATTTAACTCTTTCTGTCCCATGTGTATTAAGCGAGCCACTTTTTTGTAAGCCCATTATGGGCAGTGAGGGACGGGACCCTATGCCCCCCAAAAAATTCCTGGTGTTTTTCAACCCTTCTGGATCTGATGGCGGGTCCCCGGAGTGGTAAGCTGCTACCTTAAATGCTCGGCCATCTGGCCGTCACTATGTATATTAGAAAACAAACACACTGATACATAATGTACACATTCAATGATCAGTAATGCATATTAGTAGTAATAAAACACTACTTATGTGTCATAAGTATTAAGAGAGTTGATTAGAGCCCTTATAGTGCTATGTTATGGTTCAATGGATTGCCAATACTTTATCAAATCCTTAATTTGGCTCTTCGAAATTGGCTTCGAGGGGACAGTAAAATGACAAAATGTAATTTTTTCAAAATTTTATTTTGAATATTTACATTAAGAGCGTAATTTATAAATAACAGCAAAAACGAATTTCCTCTTACATTCGAGACTAAAAGAATAATCCTCTCATTCTTCGACCCATGCCCTGTCTGTCATAAAGAACGTTGAATTTATTCACAAACTGCAAAAAAGAATATCTTATATTAGTAACCAAAATTATGTTTTAAAATAAATTTAAAATCCAGTGCATACATTTCGCTTTTAAACATAAGGTGACACTGCAGTGCCAGAACACCATTGCATATAGCATAATGTTGAATGTACAACCATCAACTACAAGGTACCAGAAAGGCTGGAGTTGTATTTACTGTTGCAGCATTATAGGTTTAAAATACAAACTGCATGCAAGACAGGCAGCGTAACATAATATCAACAGAGATGGGTGCAGAACTACATTTGACTTATGGTATCCCACATCTTAATTCTGGCTCTGCAGCAACACCAAATGTTTAAAACCAGACCTAAATTGATTTTTTAAAGTTAATGAAATTATATTTCTGTTAAACAATAAAACCAATGACTTGGATATAAAAAATTGTTCTCATGCTTTAAATTTTTAACTGCAAATGAAGGAATTCAGATTAATTAGGAAAGGGCAAATGAATTTACTGTTAGTTTTGTTACTTAGAATTGATGTTTCTGATATAGTCATACTTGTGATTTATCTTTAGTCTGTGTAGTGTTTGTAGCTTGGTAGTAATGTCTATTATAATTAAGTCTAATAGCTGTAGTTTTTACTTCTAAATCTTCCTGTTTAGCTAACAATATTCTGCGATAAAATTCTTCATTACAATGGCAAGTAATGCATTTTCTAATACTTTTCGTACCCAGACAAGCAATTATTTATTGAGATATAATGATGCCGGGCTGCAATTTTTAATCATATTTTTAATTTATTTAATTTAAAATATATGCTCTCCACCTCAAATTAGTAGTGGCTTGCCCCCCATACATCATACTTTTACTTTAACAATACAATCATGCTGACCGTCTAACATCTTATGGGGAAAAATATTATAATTGAAATAATGTTACTTTTGGTTTGCTTCGGAAGTTCGTATATAGTTAATTGGAGTCTGCTGCCCCTAAGGTTTCCACATCTGGTCTCATCTTTCATATATTTAACTCTGTTTGAGATTAACGAAAGACACAGCCAGATGGACAACAGTGGGAATTTATAGGTCTACAATGTTTTCAAATTTCAGCCAAAAAATAGGAAATATTAGCTTGAACAGAAATGCATATGAATTTGCTCTACTTTGTAACATTGTACAATTACATGTATATGAGTTGTAATTATAAGATTTGATCAAAAAGAATGTGCATAGCTTTGAAAGTAGGGGAAAGGTGGAACTTGTTAAGCTATATGATTTGATCACTATTAGTGATGGTATTTAATGAGTGAGCAAAAACCAAGGAAAACTTGAGGTGATGCTGTATTCATTTGGTACAAACTGGGTTTCATTTTGTGTGCGTGAAGAGCAGATGGTGTTCTCTGTAATGATATAGAAAGTGAAGTTTTATAGTGAGAAAGGATTGAATTTGTTTTCTTTATTCTGATAAGACAAGAAACTCAATAATCATCAATTGTGAGTTGACTGTTATTAGAGAGGTTGCAGCCGACGTTTTCAGCCCAAAACATGAATGTCAGACGTCGAGTGCCGCCATCTGGCAATTCTAGAAGGTTAACAATGGCATTTGCTACATCTAGCATGGTGAGTAGAAATTTGGCTTAAACTTAATTTTTTTTGTGTTTTGGGTTAAAATTATGACATATTTTATTAAAATAATGACTATTTAAACATTTATGAATAATATTGTAAAGAAACAGACGATATTAATCCAGAAATTATTTAATTATTCAATTTTTTTGCAAGTGATGTGAAGTGACTATAGAATTTACACATATTTCTGTTCATAATAGCTTATCATAATTCTGTAGGAATAGGTTTGTTCTTTCACAGCATCTCCTATCATCAACAACATAATATGTTTTTAATTTTCTAAAAATAATTTCCCAAGATGCTTTTGGATTTATATAAGCCACTACTTCCCTCGACAAAAGTATGAGATTGTCCTATCGTATAGTAGGAGACATGACGCTAATTAAAAATAATTATTCAGTGTTATTAAACATCCTATAAATACTTTAAAATAGTTTAATTTATTTATTTACCTTCACTGGTAACATTCGTCATTGTTAAATGTTTTCACCATTTTCAACAATATCCCATGAGTCAATGCGCGACGTAAACGTGTGTTGCAACATGTTTTACTCGGAGTTCAAACATCAAACATGTACTTCTGCTTGCCGTACAAGTTTAACGTTTGAACTTCTGCAGCAACTTCTCTATTGACTTTGTCTTGAAGCTTTTCCTTTTGAGACTTTGCAGTATTTGTAATTTTTCTTTATTGCTGCAATTTTTAAGATGAAATGAATGAAGAGTAACACAGTGTGAAATTTTGTTTTAAACTTGAAAAGGCTACAACCTACAACTAATATCTTTTTCTATCATTCTACTTGGAGTATCATCTCCAAAGATCTCTTGCTATGAGTAGCACCATGTGCTTTGAATGATTTAGATACTTTAAAAAGGTAGTGGAACTTCCATCAAAGACAATGAAAGACCAACTCACTTTTGTCTTCTAAAAGAAACAAAGAGGTAATCAGTTTGTAAATTTAGCTACATTAGTCTTTGATTAGTTTCATGTAAAATAATTTTTATAAATAAAAAGTTTATGCTGCTAGTCCAGATAATTTTGAACCTGGCATTCAATCATCAGTCGATAACTCTTGTGATTTTTGAAAATTTTCTTTGCTTACTTCAACATTATATTGTCACCACTACATTCTAGTCAGGATTTTTATCCTAAAGATTTGTCAAGGATTCCTAAATTGTTTTATGATCTTTCCTCAAAGCATCAAAAAGAGATATTGCATTTGTCAAAACACTGATTGTGTTTGCACTGCATTATCTTTGCATTATTAAATTAATTACATCTCTTGCTTATCAAAAATAACATAAAAATTTATGTATTATAACTGGTAATTTCTAACACAGTAAACAATAAACAGATTTAGTTATAGTAAGAATATGTAGTCTGTTACAAATTACAATTGTTGGAACTTCTGAATGAAAAAAAAGTTAGGAAACTCTGTTAATTTCTTACGAATAAATACAACTACCCAATACACATAAAACTGTTAAAAATATACACAAAATTGTTTGAATATAGTTTATTGAATGTGTTTATTCTAGAAAATTAGCACCATGAAACTAAGTTGCTTAACTGATTATCTTTATACTGGTGTGGACAATTATTTTGCAATTGGTATCAGGAGTATGTAAAAGTTTCTGCTGCTAATACTGCAATGCCATGTAGTGGTACATGCCAGTGGTTACACCCCTACATGGCACTGTAGCAAAAATATCTGTGCACATGTAAAGGGTGTCTCTCAGTCAGTTATCCTGTTACATGACAATGCCAGATACATATCAATACTACCACAAAACAACCATTGATCAGTTAAAAAGAGGTTTTACCATACCCAGCTTACTTCCTTAGACTTTCAACTGTTTTGCTCTAGGCAACATTGCCTAGTCCAACAGTGGTTCACCACACTTGCAGATTTTGAAAATTTCATCTCTGCATTTTTCAGTTTAAAACCTGAATCCGCCTATTGTGGGGCATTCATTTGTTGCCTGAAAAGTGGCAAAAGATCGTTGATGTTAATGGTCAATGTTATGATGAATAAATGTGTTCTGGTTTCCTGATAGTTCATGTCTCATTTCTCCTCCTGACAGCAAAAATTTTTGCATATCCTGATATATTAATATACAGTAACATATATAATTCAAAAATATAAGTTGTAACAATGAGATCATTTCATTGCCAAGTTTACAAATGTTTATGTCCACATCAGTGTTTTTGTAATTTAATATAAAGCCAGGATTACTTTTTCTTAAGTACAGAACAATCTTGGTAGTCTGTTTGCTAGTTAGACACATCCAATAATCTGATGCTAGATGACCTGGTATTACAGGCATTATTGCCAAATCTTAGGCAACTTTCCCACTACTTCAAACTCCCGACTCCACTAAATTTGAATGCTTTCCCACTAAATGCAGAATATTGTTGAGTTCAAGTGTTCAAACTAGGGTAAAATATTAGACTGTTGTGCTCAATATCATGAGCTATTCAAAAATAGCAAAGCAAAGCAAAAATCAGTTCCCCGAAGTTTCCTACCAAAAAATATCATACTATACCTCCCACTAAGTTCAGCAAGAATCCACCAACTTGACAACACTGATTACCAGCAAAAGCAACATGCTTGGAAGTTTTGATTGGTAGGACAACTCATGTTTGCTGCATGATTAACAGTCAACTATACTATCAAATTCATTTATGCCATTGAATTTACTTTACTTTCAATAATTTGACAATCTCCTTCATCTGACACCATTCCAATCTCACATACATCAAGATTACCAAGATTGTACTACAGTTTTTTTGGCCAATTCAAATTTTAAAAAATTGTCAACAAACAAGAATTTTATTTTTAAAACTTTTATAACAACATTTATTTTTAAACTTTTAATATTTGATTAAATGTGGATATTAAAATGGCTAACACATTTAATAAATACAGTAAAAACCTGGTTATTTCAAAACTAAAGGGACCAAAAACACTATTTCAAATTATCCAACTTTTTTCAAATCAAAGATTTTTGTAATTCTCAAATATAATTATGACATTATCTTATATAATTTTACCCATTCATTTATAAATGCTTTAATATTACAAGTTATTACTTACTAATTTAAGCTATTTCGACAAAACTGTCAGTTGGCATGTACTTAATAAAAACAATGAAAAATTACATTCAAAGCAACACTTGAAAATAACATATGAAAGAAGCTAAGTGCTTCAATAAATTTCAAATTTCATCTACAGGATCAAAAGCTAGTTTATGAAGAATTCACAATCTTGAGTTTGAGATTACAAAAATCATGTGATCTGATTAAAACAAGCTCTGTCAATGGTTAAAGCTATAAATATACATTCTATTGTGAATTTGCACATGTATTTAATGGACTTTGGAATTACTGAAACAATAGATTTTTTGAAAAATGTCCAAAATAATTAAATGTCAAACAGATTTCTTCCATAAAAGTAAAAAAGTCTTTCTTCATTTGCAAAATGTACAATGACCAAATGACCTTGACTGGACATCCATTAAATCAAAAATGTGTAATTGTTAAACCAACACCAAAACAGCCACTTGGACATGGAAACTTTCTTTTGAATTAAATGATATTTTTGTGGGTCCCTGGACCAAATAATGACTGAATTTCACTGTACACATATTTTGAATTATCCAAATTAAAATACAGTGCAACCACATATATCTAGATCCCATTAATCCAGATTATAAAACACAATCTCTGTCTCAGATAGATAGACATACAAGGTCTGTTCAAAAAGTACCGGACCTTTGGTCGGTAAAAATAAATTTATTGACTTTGAGGTACAAAACCCTAATCCCCTTCAAAGTAGTCTCCTTGGTAATGTATACACTTCTCCCAGCGTTCCTGCCATTGCTGGAAACACTGCTGGAACGCATCTTTTGGAATGGCCATCAGCCGGTCCGTTGGATTTTGCACGATGTCTTTTCTCGACTAAATTCGGGTTCCTTTTAGCGGCATTTTCAGCTTGGGAAATAGCCAAAGGTCACACAGAGCCATGTGGGCAGAGTACGGAGTGTGACGAACCACAGGAGTGTTATGTTTGTTGAAGAAAGCCCGAATCAGATGCGCAGAATAGGCAGATGTGTTATCACGATGGAGCTGCCAAGTTTTGATCGACCACAGATCCGATCGTTTGCGTCGCACAGCATCGGAAAGACGACAAAGGACCTCCTGGAAGTACTCTTTTGCGATGGTTTCGCCTTGTGGTGCATACTCACGACACACCACCCCACGAGAATCAAAAGAACTGTCAACATGACCTTTGATATTGCTGCGGAACTGCCGCGCTTTTTTTGGCCTTGAGGATCATCCCCGAAAGCCTGCTGAATCTTGCGAATGGTTTACGCTTGGCTATCGCCAAGGTTTTTGGCAAAATTTGATGTAATATCACTGCTCACATTGTTCAGTCATTTTCCAGCTTAGTGAAATCCGACGAGAGTGCACTACATGACCTCACTCATAGGCCAATTGCCAACGACTGACGCTTTCTGCAGGCGGGAAAAAATTCAGGGCTGTGCATGACTGTCCCCTCTACAACTCCACCGAAAGAGGCCTGTCGCGCATCATTGGTTTACGCAGAAAAAAAAAGATCCGATACTTTTTGAACAGACCTTGTACAGAAAACCTATAAATGCAAAAAATCAAAGAACTCTTAATTACATTCTTATCTGAATGTAACAAGGATAGACTTGTTTCTTATGAATTGGCCTATGGTTTTCATTGTTATACATTCCAAGGGAGTGTTCTTTGAATTTACTTAATATTTTGTTGAACCTTTACTAATCCATTAAGATTTTTCATTTTTAAAAATTGTTACTTTCCTGTTGAATAAAAATATGCTTTTCATGGCAGTCAACATGCTAATTAAGTTTATTGTTTGTAATCTTGCCAGTTATTATTCACTCAACAGCCTAAAGCCTGTTTCGCTGAGTTTCACTCATCTTCTAACATTTGTGAAATAAAGTAAACACTGTGAAATTGACATCTGAAGAAAAGTGGATGTTATGTTGGAGAAGACTACAGAAATGTAAAATAAAAAGTCTATAAATTGTGTTATTTATGTCGTTAACAATTTTTCTGAATTTTCAGTCATTTGAATTGAACCTGGTACCATTTCAGCCAGATAAATGAGGTTCCACTGTATATGAAAAATCCTATTCTCTTGGCTAAGGATTAGACTGGACTTCAAATTATCCGATATCAAAATAACAAGGTTTTACTGTATTTTCAACTCTTTTGAAGATATTTAAATTCACTTGCCTGATTAATCGTATTGCATCCTTTTGTTAAGGTGCCTAAGTAGGTCATTAGTCCTACATCGTTGCATTGCTAAATGTGAAGAAAAATTTAATTAGTGTTTTGTCTCTTCAAAAGCAGAAATTATTATTACAAATAAATACTACTAATTTATTTTACTACATTAAAATTTAAACCTTGCTATCTTAAAATATAATTCTTAATGTGAGAATCAAAGAAAACAAAGAAAAAACAACCCAATGATGATCTCATTAGAAGCCTGGATATATTGACTTTCTGACCTGAGAGTGTCAACACATTTTCTCAGAGACAATTGGGACACCTTATAACACCTTTTTTGACTCACTCATCTCCAGGCAATTTTACCTTTGAATACAATGAAGAATAGCCAATTTTAGTCAGTCATCATCCATTCTTTAAGTCATTGGAATTAACGTTTGTGTGTGCCTTACCACCCAGTTGGATTTGTGTTAGGGTGCTTCATCTGAATTTCTGTTTGAGTGCTACTCCACACGAATCATCTGAAGCTTTGTCTCCTCAAGAACTATTTTTCTGCCATCAAAGACAGATTTCCTGTGCTCTTTGATGTGGGAATTCAGATTTATAAGGTACCGAAATTTGTAAACTCTCTTCTCTGAGATAATAACCCATGTAACTGCAAATACTAGGACTAACTTAAATGCAGAAGATACTGTATGAACTTTTGTGCCATCTAATAAATGTTTTAAGTGTAGCAAACTGTGTTGAGTGACTCCTTCCAACTGAATCTCATCATTTCCTAATCCATCCTCTTACTGCTAGTTTCAGTTACAAGACCACATCATTGCCATCCACAAAACTCTCATGAATTCAAATATCAATAGTATGCATAACCTGCTTGGTGTCAGGAATTTCTGAGTGTAATCACCTACATTCAGCAATAACAAGGTCCTAAGAGTAATAAGAACCTCACAGCTAGTCTCCTGGCCTTTATAAGAATAATATAATTCTGTTAAAAGTTATTAATGCTTAGTACATTTAGCTTTCAACTTGTAAGGAACTACATAACATTCAACAAGTTGACTTAAATTTTGCAAGTAAAAGCACACCTCAAACACTGAAACCTCCACAGAAGGGACAAGTGGTTTCAAAAAGAGGAAAAAATTGCCATAATTTGTTTGAACCCACCAGTGGCCAAGTGGATGAACCACTGAACTCCTGTAATCAATCATCTGACTGACAGGCTAGCCACATGGAATTTTCTGGGTTTTCTCCATAAGTCTAACCGTTCACCCAAATAAGGCCAGCTTCCCATAGAAATCCTCCCAAGAGTCACCCTGTCTGCAGATTGCCCTCGCATCATGTTGCCTTCTTCCAACAAACAAACTTTGCTTCAATGATTAGAGTCTAATCTAATTATAATCCAAAAGAATCTAGACACAGTCAAAAAAACAATTCTTTATAAAACATTAAATTAAAAGCAATTAAAGAGACTAATTTTTCAATAATTTTACTTGCTTAATAATTTTTTTGTATATTTGATGTAATCTTTAGAATGTTAATAGAATAGTTAAATGAATGTTCAGCACTAACTTTAATCTCATAATATTATAGACTGTTTATATCAGTGAAGGTTATCTTAAAAATGGAAAGATTGAACAAAATACAATTTATTTGAAATATTTCAATATTAAATTTTAAAATAATTATAGGATTAGATGAAAAAATCAAATTCTTACATTATAAAACTCAGCTCTAAAATTGTCTGAATTTAGGACAGGAAGACGATGACTCAAACTGTAAGCTTCTCTCAGTATATCATGATTGGGAGACAATCTACCAGATTTTACTGCACGAACATAATCCAGTATTAGTCGGACACGTCCATGAAGCATTTTTATTGCACTGTGTTGAGCTTGAAGATGTTCGGCAACTGTCACCAAAAAAACAAATAATTAATTGAAATTATTATTAACGTACTTAAATTTGGCTATAATTACACAATACAGTATCTGCTTATTGTAATCACTTTACTTCTCTATTATACTGATTAACTGATTGATAATCTTAAATAAGATGTAATAAAATAATACAAATTAGTTTTATATTAATAAATATTCAACTTATACAGTTAAAAACTGTATAAATTGAAAATTTATTAATTGTAATTATTATTAGTTAATAATAATTCATCCAGTGTTTGGCTCCTGTTTTTTGCAAAGTTGTCGTTAATGGCAGCTAGCATATAACAGATAACAAATTCCAGGAATCTAAAGTTCTAAACTAATGTATTGCAAGCAAATAATTAAAATGATCAATGTTTAGTGCTTAAAGAACTGGTTAAGATTGACAAGGATTGCATGTTATCAGCTACTTGTTAATGCTGAATTTTTAGTGCAAGAAACATTCATAGCTTAAAAATGTTCTTCAAATTTGCTTAGTTTATGTCTAATTTTCAGATCCATATACACTCTCAAAAGATGTTTAATCACATTATTAAAGTAGCTCCTTGAATGTTTATTAGTATTTTGGTCTTGTCATATGCTAAAAATACTTGTTTATTTGAAGATAATGATAACAATAACCAGAGCCTTTCAGAGAAAATGGGAAACCTGAGGCAACTAATATCTTAGAGGCCCTTCAAAATTTAAAATAAAATTGTTGACAAGAAATTAAAGTCAATGGTATTTAATATTTTTTGGATTATTACATTTAATTATTTTACAGAAGCTTTGTGTGCTTTAACATTAGCAAATTCACTGATCATTTCAGAATAGTCTAAAATATGCGCTATATGGTAATTAATATTAAGTGTTGCTAGTCCACTTAATCGTTGCTGACACATTGTTGATCATAGACAGTTTTTAATTCTTTTCAGAACACTAAATGATCTCTCACCTTCTGCTACACTCACAGGCAAGGTTAAAAAAATTTGAAGCACTATCGTTATATTGGGAAATATGTTTATGAGTTCCATGTCAATAATTTCCTTAAGTAATTCTGCCAGTTTCATGCTTAGTTTAAAATTAAATTTGTAAACATGCTTCAGTAGTATTATTGCTTCTACAATTTTGTCACTTATTTTATTTTTATATTTATATAGCAATAATTTTGCCCTTGAAACTATAGTCTCTTTATCCATTTCATTAAATTTCTATAAAACTTCAAAAAAAATTGAAAATTAAAGAAATTGCTTGAAATCAATGCATAAGTCCATTTATTATTGAATGATAATTTTGTTAAAAATGTTTAAATGAAAATATTCTTCAGCAGATTTTTGGTCTTTTAATTGAAGATTTATTTCTAATTCTGGAGTGATTTCATTTTTGGTTGCAATTTTTTTACATTTATAAAGAACTGACTTCCATGTTTTCTTAAGTTGTTCTTTATCTAGGTTCTCAATATTATCTTTTTTTTTTTTTTTTTACATCCAATGCTGCTTTATGAGATTCAATAATAAAATTTATTTGATGTAATAACACTAGTATTTCCATCCAAACCAAACTGTAGACATAAGAACACATTCAAATTTTGACAAGTATTTTTTAGAAGCAGAAATCTGTATGTGCATCAACAGGAAGTCTTCCTAAATCAATTTCATTCAAAGCAGATTGCAGAGATTTCAAATTTTGAGCCACTAGTTTCACAGCTTCTAGCTTTACTGACCATCTTGTTTTTGAAATATCATGTAAAGGAATAACATTTTGTTGATCAACAAAAACTGAAATAAACGAATGTTGTGCCAAGTGTTGGTTATTACGCTGAATTGCAGTTTTAAAAAATAAATATAAAGACACAACACGGTTTCAAAATATGGAAGAATGCTAAATGTTTTTTTAAAACCTCCCATCTTTTTGGACTTTCACTAAAGAAATTAAAAATTTGCTGGACAGTACCAAAAAAGTTATTGCTTCCTTACAAGATTCTGCTGAATCCACTCCGACAAGATTTAAAGTATGGTTTCCACAACCAGAGAATGTACAATTGCTATTTTCACGCAAAAGAACTGCTTGCACACCATTATACTCTCCTGCCATATTGGATCCGTTATTGTAGCCTTGTCCCACACAGTTTTTAAAATTCAATTTTAAAAACTGAACAGGCATTCACAAAATCTTGTATAATGGCTGATAAATACTTATATTTATTATATGTCTCTTCAATCCGAATGGTTAACAAACGGGAGACATATAATAAATATAAGTATTTATCAGCCATTATACAAGATTTTGTGAAGAAAATTTAATGACAAAATGGATAAAAAGAACAGGTTAGTAACCCTTACAAAGAAAGTGGAGAGATTAGAACATGATATAAACTATTTTAAGTGCTTTTTGAGGGAAGAGTACACACCGAATACTATAAAATTAAAAAAATCTATAAGAAATATAATACCAAAACACATGATTTGGAAAATAGAAAGAAAAATAATAAAATCTATCATCAGGAGTAAATATAAAAAATGGAACAATTTAAAATACCAATTAAGGAAATGCTTACATAAATATCAATATACAGAAAATCCTTATAAAGGAATAGCTAATAATTATAAACATAAAAAAGAAATTAAATTAAATAAATTGTTTAATTATGCTAAGCCTAACGAAAAGAAAAAATGGATGGAAAACTTAATTGTAAATAATTCGTGTATACATATTCCAAAATGTATAAATGAATTTTTGATGTTAGGATTAGAATTTAATTTACCTGTAGATAAGATAACAATAGACTTAATAGCCAATATTGATAAAAGTGTAAAAGATTTACCGATTAAAAAAGAAAAGAAGGCGAATTTAATAGGAATATTTATCCAAAATTTTAAAAAGCTATTCCAAAAAAATAAGTACAAAATGAATAAATATAAGACATTAATAAATAAAACAAAAATTTTCCTAAAAACTAATAATCTTTCAATAATTAAAGCAGATAAAACTAAACAACTTGTAATAATTGATAATAACAAATTAAAAAATAAATTGGCGGCTTTGGCTA